TCCAAAAGCTCTGGGATGGAGTGACAGCTGTAGTCAGTGGAAATTTTGCAGCCTTTAGATGTTTTCATTATTTAAGAATAAAGACAAAGTGTACTCTTATTATGAAATGAGAAAAAAGAAGGACAAAACAAACTAAATACATTAGAAAGAGGGAATAATAAAGATAAAAGCTGAAGTTAATGAAACAAAGGATTATAGAAAGGATAAATACATAGAACAGCTGGTTCTTTGAAACAATAAAACAGAATAGGATTTATGTGTCTGATTAGAAAAATTCAAAAAGAATAAAAAATTTACAAGACTAGAAATGAGAAAAAGGACCTAATCAGAGATGTAGGAGTGATTCAAAGAAGATAACAAAGATAACTGCATTCAACTCTGGCAAAGAATTTGAAAAACCAGAATAAATGGATTATTTCCTTGCCAAATGTAAATGTCCCAATTTGATTCAGGAAGAGGTGGAAAATTTGAATAGATTGGAAAAGTGATTAAAGATCTACCATTTAAAAAGGCAGTGGGGCTCTGGCCAGGTGGCACAGTTGATTGGAGCATCATCTCGTGCACCTAAGGGTTGTGGGTTTGATTCCCAGTCAGGGCACACACCTAGGTTGTGGGTTCTATCCCTGGTTGGGGCGTGAATGGGAGGCAACCAATCGATATTTCTTTCTCACACATGGATGTTTTCTTTGTCTCTCTTTCCCCTTCTCTTCCTTCCTCTCTTCCTCCCTCACTCCCTCTCTCTCTCAAGTCAATAAACGTATCCTGGGGTGAGGATTAAAAACAAAAAATGCAGTGAGACCATATGGAATTATAGCTGAGTTTTATGTAAACTTTAAAAACAAATAATTGTATCACTATTTAAACTGAGAAGAATATGAAAAGCTTCTAATTCATATGTAAAATAAGCATCTATTTAACTATAAAACCCAATAGAATACAAAACAAGTGTGGAGACTAATTTAATGTTGACTATAGAGGCAAAAATTCTAAATAAAATATTAGCAGATAGAGCCCATCAATGTATTTGAGAACCCAACTATAACCAGGTAGGGTTTATTCCAAGAATACAAGAGTGAAAATCTACCAGTGCCATCCCTCACATGATCCAGTTAAAGATAGAAAATCATATGATCACATCAATAGATGCTAAAAAAAGCATTTAATAAAATGAGTAGGCACTACTAATAAAAAGTATAGATTAACAAAAAAGAATAGAAAGAAACTAATGTAATAGGCCATTTGCCAAAACCAACAATGAATATCATCATCCTCAATAACAAAACAATAAAATTACAATTAATACCAGGAGCTACACAGCCTTGCTATCCCTATGTACCCATTCATTTAACAAATATATTTTCAGCACCTATTTGGGCCAGAGTATTGTTCTATGTTCTGAGGAATGAAAAAGGAATACAAAAAGCTGTGACTTGTGGAGCTTATATTGTTGTGGGAATTATTATTTATCATCGTTTCAGGGTTTCTAGTGAATTTAGCAAGATAAGAAAAATGAAATAACTGGAATAAATATTGGAAAAGACAAACTTAAACTATCTCTTTTTCCTAATTCTGTGATTGTATACCTTGCAAATCCAGGAGACTCCCAGTAAAACCCATTAGAATGAGTAAGAGAATTTGGTAAGTGGCTGAATTCAAAATAAATTTAAAAATTCACCCACCCCTCCTATAATAGCAATAGGCCCTTAGAAATGAAAAGCAGGAAAAATTTACAATAGTAAAAGAAAAACACAAAACAAAACATAAAAAGACTAAATAATTTTATTTTTATTCCTCACCTGAGGACATGCTTAGAGAGAGGAAGGGAGGGAGAGAGAGAGAAATATCTATGTCGATAGTCTTCCGTATGCACCCCTACCAGGGATTGAACCTGAAACCCAGGTATGTGATCTAACTGGGAATCAAACTGGCAACCCTTTGTTGCATGGGGTGATGCTCCAACTGAGTCACTCTGACCAGACAAGAATAAATTTAAAAGAAAGGCATGAAACATAGAGAAAATGAAAATGTTTTATTGAACACAAAGCAAAATTTGAACAAATAAGACATACCATGTTCTTGGATTGGAAGTCTTAATAGTGAACTATACATTTGATGCAATTCCAATTCTGATCCCAGCAGTTTTTTATTCAATTTAATACAATGATCTGGAAGTTTATAACAGAAGGTTAAGTGTCACTAATAGCTGAGAAACGAATTTCTCCACCGCCTCCCTCCAAACCCCTGGAATTCAAACTCCACGAGGGAAGGGATTTTGCTCCCTGTTGCAGCCTCAGCACCTGTAATTGTGTCTGGAACATAGTAGACATTTAATAAATAGTTGAATGAATTAATAAAAATGACTACTAAGGGGAGACTTACCAGGTATCAGGATATACTAAAAAGCCATGGTATTCAGATTATTATGGTCCAGGCAGATGGCTAGACAAATCAATCAGTGGAATACAATAGAAAACCTGAAATAGATCTCAGAATGCATGAGACTTTAATATGTGACAAAGGTTATATTTTAATCAGAAAATTATGTATTACTTAACAAATGGGATTGACATAGAGGGCTGTTTGCCTAGAAGAAAATAAAATTAGAATTCTGTCTTATACCATATATAAAAATAAAAAAAAGAAAGTTAAAAATAAAGCAAGACACATTTTATAAGACAGTAACTACATGTATAATATGAGCAATATTAACTAAGATTAGAGACTCAGTAGTTAAACATGACTATAAAAAGTAAACTTTTTGTATTTCAAAGGGTATTAAGCAAAGCCAATAAATAGTAAATTTGGGAAGAAGTGCTTGCAATACAGAAGACAGAGTTTAATATCTGTGATGACAAAGAGCATTTACAAATTGACTAGGAAGGCCCAACAACCCATTAGAAAAATAAACAACAACAATAACAAAATAAAGACATAGTTCAGAGAAGCACAAGTACAGAGGGAGGGTTAGCATCAAATCAAAGGATGCTATATCTGTTGCTGTCGGGGAATAGTACGCATGCTACTGGTTGCAGTATTGTTACCGTTTGTTGGAAAGTAATCCAGCAACATGTGTTAGAAGTAATGTCTGCATGACCCAGGGATTCCAGTCCTTCTTTTCGTAAAGACATAAAAACACCTGTATGTAAGGACATGTATTACAACACTGTGTTCTGTCATAATGTGTAGGGGGGAAAATGGAGATAAACAAATGTTTACTAGGAGAGGAATGGTTGGCTATATCACAATATATCCAAATAGTGAAATATTATGCAGCCATTTAGAAAGGAATTTAGGGCTCTCTCAGTTGAATTGAAAGATTTTTCCTAAGTTATTATTGACTGGGAAAAGCAAGATGCAGAAAACTGGGCATGATTAGTAGTTAGAAAACAGTCATGGAAAAAAGTATGCTCATATGTGTCTTTACATACATGGAAATGTATATGGAAGAAAATACATAGGTAGTTAATATGGGTTACTGGGGGAAAAGGGGTGGCATTCAGGCTGATAAGGGTAGAGGAAAGTGAAGAGGAGAAATTAGCCAAATAAAAAAGAACATACATACAGAGACTATTAATGAAGAAACAACATGTATGGCAAATTCTGTATATTTATGTACATAAATGTGTATACATGTGGGCACGTGCATGTGTGGCACACACATGCAAATGACATTTTAAAAGTAAAGAATTCCTATTGGCTCTGGGTTGTTTAATTCAATTATTTATAATTCCTGTAGTAACATCAAAGGAATTGAGTTGTGGAGGAAGTGGATTTGAGTCAAATAGTAAGTACTATATGTTTAAGGCAGTGAAAATAGTCATTTGTGCAATAGTTTATGTTGATTTATGAGCATTATGATAGATAATTATCCATTTGTATATTCTTACCCCAGATGGTTTATGGTGGGATTAAAGACTTAAGTGATTAATAAGGAATACTAGCTTCATATATTTGAACATGATATATTTTTCTGGTTAAACAAAACCTTTTGTATGTGTGTTTTCCCAGCTTTATTGAGATATAATTGACATGTAACATTATGTAAGTTTAAGGTAACACGATGATTTGATACATGTGTATATTGCGAAATGATCACCACCATAAGATTAGATGGCACATTCATCACCTCACATAGTTACATATTTGATTTCTAGGTCAGTTTTAGGAGGCCAGATTCTTTTCCCTGTACCTGGTGAGACATACTTTTAGCACATGTTTTTATCAAGGAATGTTCCAGACTTGCTCATCTTAAAGATTTCATCTGTTTTCATATTGACTTATAGTAATGCCTGGATATTTAGGTGATAAATGACTACCATTCCAATTTATGAGAAAAATTAAGGAGCTTATAGATCATAGAGGAAAAAATAATAAGTTGATCCAAACATCCATTGACAATAATCTGAGCTATCAAAATAGCTAAAATATTTAGCCACAGATTTTCTCCCAACTAGTTACTGTGAAAGATAACACTGAAATCGACACTGCCTGATGGTGAAGCACAAAGTGAACACTGGTCAGCACCACCCAGGACAAGAAACAGAACCTTTCAGCCCCTGTGCAGTCTGGTCCAAGCTCTTCCCCTCACAGTCCCCCAGAGGCATCTGTTGTTCTGACGTTTATAATCACTTCCTGGCTCTTCTTTTTAATTTATCATCTAAACTTACATGCCCACTACAGCTGAGTTTTGCCTGTTTTTTGAGTTTTTTTAGAAATGAAATCATACAGTATGTGCTCTTTAGGGTCTGGCTCCTTTCACTCAACTGCATCATTGTTGCCCACAGTTAAGGAATGAAGGCGGGGCAGGGCCAGGCTGGAATGCAAGTAACAACTCCCGAGTGATCGCAACCCTATCAAGTTACAGGTTTTAGGTTATTATTTAAGTTCTTTGAGGGACCTTAGAGTAGTGATGAGACAGATGAAGTATTTATTGAGAACTCTAGTAGTTGGTGCCCCAACTTCCCAAGAGGGACAATCACCAGGTTTTTATGCCATTCTAGGAAGAAACACTTGTGCCGGCTGCATGTCCTGTGATGCTCATGGCTGTCACTCTGTCCTGCCCAGAAGTGCCTCTCAGAGGCAGGACTTGATGAAGTATTTCAAGCTGATGCATGAGTTTGCTAAATTGGCCATAGAATTAAAGTAGGCATCTTTTTTCTTGTATCTTTGAACATTTGACATTTTCTTTGCATGTTACCAGGAAGCCCCCATATGAATTTTTATATATATGAACATTGTGTATCTTCTTTAGAAAAATGTCTGTCTATTCAGGTCCTTTGCCCATTTTAAAATTTAATTGTTTTTTTGCTATTGAGTTCTTTATATATTTTGGATATTAATCCCTATTCAGATATATGATTTGCAACTATTTTTTTCCCATCCCCTAAATTACCGTTTTATTTTGCTGATCATTTACTTACTGTACAGAAGTTTTTTAGTTTGATGGAATCCCACTTATTTACATTTGGTTTTTGTTGCTTGTGCTTTAGGTCATTGCCAAGACCCATGACAAGGAGCCTTTTTCTGTGTTTTCTTTTGGGAGCCTTACATTTAAGTCTTTAATCCATTTCGAGTTAATTTTTGTGAGTGGTGTAAGATAGGTGTCTAATTTTAGATGTAATTTTCCTTATTTATCTTCGCTGGATATTTTCCTGATGTCATTATGTACGTGTTCACATACTCTTTGTTCTTTTTCACACAACTTCACACACGCCCGGCCTTCTGATGGCCGTAGAGACAGTCTCTGCTGCGAATTCTGCTCTCCCCACCAGGTCGGTGTGCCTGCCATTCAGAGGGCACGAGGCTGCGGGAGGGCAGCTGCAAGGACAGGTAGCAGGTTCATTTTGGATGAGCCTTTGCCTGTGTGGCCACCAGGAGGACTGAATGAATGGGAGCTGTCCAGTGAGTAGATCACCAATCGCCTGCCCAGGACGAGGGCGGGTCTGTGAAGGCAGCTAGGACTGGATGTGGTGCGAGTGATAGAACACCTTCTAGTCCTGCTGTCATCCTGGACGTGTGCATCCCACCGCGGAATAGAAAGCCTGCTTTGTAGACTTGTGGGAAGATAAAGTCGCGTTTTGCAGTGACGTGGGCACTTGTATTCTGAACAGGATCAGGATCAGAAATGAAGACAATATTTAGGCCACACAGAAGGGAAAGACATAGAAGAGGTGATTCTTGTGTCTGTATATCCTTTTTGCCTGTAAGTGGATACATTGTAATTGGCTTATGGGAGCGATTTTGAAATAAATAGTAAACTTTATTTTTAAAAAAATCCTCCCTTTATATTTTGGGTGATGTCAGGTTCTATTTATTACTGACTTCCTTTTCCCACCGAGATATCTTGCCACAGATACCCACTATATTGTACATTCTTGTATTATATGGTCAATTAAAATTTAGTTCAAGTCATGAATAAAAGGGAAGGTAATGTGTATTCATTTACCAGTCATTCATGATTTCAGAAATTACCTAAGTTTAGCTACCCACCGTCTCCTCTCTTTTATGGCAGTATGAACCATAGGAAATTTTAAATTCTAGCATAGTTGCGCTCCAGTTCTTGGGACTGTGGTGGCCTTCTGCTATTATTGCTTCCGGGTGTGCTCAGACATTCAAATACATTTTTTTTTCTTTTCAACATTTATTTGTATTTCATATAATTAAGGACATTTCTCATTCTTCTTTTTTTTATGTATTTATTTATTTATTTTAATTAATTAATTTATTTTTGTTACAGATGTTTCTCCTTTTTCCCCCACAGATTTCCCCCCTCCTTCTCCCTCCCCGCCCTCTCTCAGCTTTGTTGTCCATGTCCATTGTTCATGCACATAAGTTCTGTAGTTTATCTTCCCCCCCACCCCCTCTTCTGGGGATAGTTAGTCGGTACCCCACTTCCACGTCTCTGGGGCTACCCCATTCCTCAGACTGTTATGTTCATTATATTCCACAAATAAGTGAGATCATATGATATTTGTCTTTCTCTGTTTGGCTTGTTTCGCTTAGGATGACACTTTCCAGGTCCCTCCATGTCGTCTCAAAGGATAAGAGATCTTTCTTTCTTACCGCTGCATAGTACTCCATTGTGTATATGTACCACTGCTTTTTTATCCATTCGTCTACTGGTGGACACTTGGGCTGTTTCCAGATCTTAGCTATTGTAAATAGTGCTGCTACAAACATGGGGGTACATATATTCTTTCTGATTGGTGTTTCAGGCTTCTTAGGGTATATTCCTAGAATGGGATCACTGAGTCAAATGGCGGTTCAATTTTTAATTTTTTGAGGTAACACCATATTGTTTTCCATAGTGGCTGCACCAGTCTGCATTCCCACCAGCAGTGTACTAGAGTCCCCTTTTCTCCACACCCTTGCCAACACTTGTTGTTTGATGATTTGTTGATGGTGGCCATTCTGACAGGTGTGAGGTGATACCTTATTGTTGTTTTAATTTACATCTCTCTGATGATTAGTGATGTTGAGCATTTCTTCATATGTCTCTTAGCCATTTGTATGTCCTGTTTGGAGAGGTGTCTATTTAGTTCCTCTGCCCATTTTTTAATTGGGTTCTTTGTCTTTCTTTTGTTGAGTTGTATGAGCATTCTATATATATTGGAAATTAACCCCTTATCTGATATATCATTGGCAGTTATGCTCTCCCATACAGTGGGTAGCCTTTCCGTTTTGATGATTGTATCTTTTGCTGTGCAGAAGCTTTTGAATTTGATGTATTTCCATGTGTTGATTTTCTCCTTTGTTTCTATTGCCTTAGGTGATGTGTCAGTGAAAATTCTGCTGCACATGATGTCTGAAATTTTGTTGCCTACATTTTCTTCTAGGATTTTTATGGATTCATGAATCACATTTAAGTCTTTCTTCCATTTTGAGTTTATTTTTGTGTATGGTGTAAGTTGATGGTCTAGTTTCATTTTTCTGCATGTAGCTGTCCAATTTTCCCAGCACCATTTATTAAAGAGGCTGTCCTTACTCGCCTGTATGCTCTTGCCACCTTCGTCAAATGTTAATTGAGCATATTGCCTTGGGTCCATTTCTGGGTTCTCTGTTCTGTTCCACTGGTCTATATGCCTGTTCTTGTGCCAGTACCAGGCTGTTTTGATTACAGTGACTGTGTAGTATAACCTGAAATCTGGTAATGTGATCTCTCCTACTTTGTTCTTCTTTTTCAAGATTGCTGTGGCTATTCAAGGTCTTTTTTGGTTCCATATGAACTTTTGAAGTATTTGTTCTAGTTCTGTGAAGTATGTCATTGGTATTTTGATGGGGATTGCATTGAATCTATAGATTGCTTTGGGTAGTATGGACATTTTAATGATGTTGATTCTTCCAATCCATGAACAAAGTATGTGCTTCCACTTTTTTATATCTTCCTCTATATCTTTCTCCAATGACCTGTAGTTTTCTGTGAATAGGTTCTTTATTTCTTTGGTTAAGTTTATTCCTAAGTATCTTCATATTTTTGCCGCAATGTTAAATGGGATTATTTTCTTAATTTCTCTTTCTGTGAGTTCATCATTGGTGTATAAGAATGCCATCGATTTCTTGACATTAATTTTGTATTCTGCTACTTTACCAAATTCATTTATTAAGTCTAGTAAATTTTTGATGGAGGCTTTGGGTTTTTCTACATATAGTATCGTGTCATCTGCGAATAATGATAGTTTCACTTCTTCCTTTCCAATTTGGATCCCTTTTATTTTTTCTTCCTGTCTGATTGCTGTGGCTAAGACTTCCAGTACTATGTTAAATAAGAGTGATGAAAGTGGGCATCCTTGTCTTGTTCCTGTTCTTTAGGGAAATGCTTTTAGTTTTTGCCCATTGAGTATGATGTTGGCTGTACATCTTTCATATATGGCCTTTATTATGTCGAGATATGATCCCTCTATTCCCACACTGCTGAGCGTTTTTATCAGAAATGGATGCTGGATTTTGTCTAAGGCTTTTTCGGCATCTATTGATATGATCATGTGGTTTTTATTCTTCATTTTGTTTATGTGGTGTATCACATTCAAATACATTTTTATATTTTTCTATGCAAAACATGATTTAAGACAAAAGTACTACCAAAATCACATACATTAAAACAAAATAAAAATTATTTGGACATTTTTCATATTGTTTCTCCTTTCCATTAATTTTAATGATTGAGAACTAACTGTGTATATGAAATCTACCTTCAGCCACTTGTCCAAAGCCAGTAGTAGCAACTAAAGGTCAACATTAAGGACTGTTGGCTTTTTTCTTTCTGTTAATTATAGAAAGAGAGTTTACATGAAATAAAGCAGGCGGGTGAGTAAACCCTGAGCACGTCTTGGTAGACACGCATGTGTGCTTCTTCATGTTTAGCTGTGCATAGTTATCGTGCTTACTCCTCTTTCTTGGGACTTAGACTTGGTTTGTTTATGATACTTATGTCAGGTGTCATAGGCTTCACTTTTTCTTGAGTGAATGTATATGAAAACTATGGCTTTTAAGATTGTTATTGAAACAAAAAGTTTGAAATTGAATAGTCAAATGGTAAAGGCATTTATAACAGATTTCTTTATAGTGGGAGGAGAACAGTCTACTGGATTTAAATATGCTGTCATCTCTATCAGAGTACTTTCTGAAAACACACTTTAAGCATTTATCCTGAAGGTTTCTCTTCTTTTGTGTGTTCCTAAGTACTATTGAGGGTATTTAGACAGCTGGTATTTACACCAAGGACATTCTGAGTTAGTCTGTAGTGAATCGAATTTGGTGACAGATGCATCTATTTCTGATATGTGTCCCATTCTATTTTCAAAGAGACCATACTTTGTCACACATATCAGAGAGAAAATCACTGTATCTAGCTGTACTCACAGTGCTCCGGAGTGTATTTACACCATTAAGATTCTTAATTCGTTCTCTATAATCCTATTTGTGGGCTGAAAAAGCTAAGCATGGAGATAACACTGTTCTGTCCTGGGGGCATAAATGTGTGAAACGATGAAGGGGGTTAACCTTTTAAGTTTACTGCTTCTAATCACTGAAGCTCAGAAAATTTCATAAAGCACTTTTCAGTAGACTCTTCACTACATTAGAATCTCTTTTTCCTTTGCAGACCCCCCATGTGGCCTTTCCAAATATGCGTTTGAGATAGAGAGTCTGTGTAGAAGCTGAATGCCTGGAAGATTTCTAATTTTTGTCGCTACGTGTCCTGCCTTTCTGCATCTCTGCCTGATTGGGATGATGTGACATTCAGAGGGCCACCTTCATCGAGGTCGTTATCTAACCAGACACATCTGGCCAAAGGTTGCCTAAATAATTCAAGATGGCTAGTCAGCCGCCAGAAGACGCTGCGGAGTCTCAGGTCTCCGACGAGCTCGAGTGTAAGATCTGCTACAACCGATACAATCTGAAGCAGAGGAAACCCAAAGTGCTGGAGTGTTGTCACAGGGTTTGTGCCAAATGCCTCTATAAGATCATAGACTTTGGGGACTCTCCCCAGGGTGTCATCGTCTGTCCTTTCTGCAGGTTTGAGACACGCCTGCCAGATGATGAAGTTAGTAGCCTGCCCGATGACAACAACATCCTCGTGAACTTGACTTGTGGGGGCAAAGGCAAGAAGTACCTGCCAGAAAACCCCACCGAGCTGCTGCTGACCCCCAAGAGGCTGGCCTCCCTCGTCAGTCCTTCTCACACTTCCTCCAACTGTCTGGTGATAACCATCATGGAGGTGCAGAGAGAGAGCTCCCCATCTCTGAACTCCACTCCTGTGGTAGAATTTTATAGGCCCACAAGTTTTGACTCTGTTACCACAGTGTCGCACAACTGGACTGTGTGGAACTGTACCTCCCTGCTGTTTCAGACATCCATCCGGGTGTTGGTTTGGTTGCTAGGTTTGCTCTACTTCAGTTCCTTACCCTTAGGGATCTACTTGTTGGTCTCCAAGAAGGTCACCCTTGGGGTCATCTTTGTTAGCCTCGTCCCTTCGAGCCTTGTTATTCTGATGGTGTATGGTTTTTGCCAGTGTGTGTGTCATGAATTTCTAGACTGTATGATACCTTCTTAATCAATATGCAAACTACGAAATTTGACACACATTGCCATGTTTCAAGTTAGGTAATTTATCATTGATTTTCTTTTATATTCTCTTTGATTAGCATTCTTGACATCAACTAAACCATTGGCCATATATCTGTGGTCCATTTTCCATAAGATGTTGACACAGTTGGTTTTCCTGTGTGCTGGAAGTACAAATATTTGTTTCTATTTAGGTGTTAGCAGAGAAGCAAAAATGTGTAAACTAAGCCTTCATGGAGCTCTTTGTGTGAGTCTTGCCAGAGAAAGGGCAGGATTTCACTTAGCCCTGCTAGACAGACACGGCGAGCGGTGGGCTGGGCGTTAGGCTGCAGTAGAGTCTTTGTGGAATGTTGGGACTTACCTGGTTCCTCTCACCATCGTCGATCATCTGTGATTGAGGGTGAACCTGAGAGGAGAGGCGTTCCCAGACATCCACCTGAAAAGCGTGCACTCCCCACAGCTCTGTTGTTGGAGCCCCCTGAACACCCTTCAGCTGTTTCTGTGAGAGGCTAATGCTGCTCTGTGTGGGCTGCTACTCCAGTTGAGGTGTTCCCTCTGCACGTGCTCTCTTGTCAAAAGGAAACTCGGCCTCATTCCCTTGTGTGGTTTTTATTATCTGTTTTGCTATAATACTAAGGAGAATTAAAAACATTCATCCATTTGCATCAAAGTAAACGTCATGACAATATGGCCCCTTGTCTTTGAGATACACTCTTTCCCCTGTTCATGGAAATCTTCATTTGCATCTTTTCTTAAATTATTTCAGTTTAGTTTTTTCTTAAAACCACATTGTTCAATTAGCCCACCCCTTATCCTTATTTAAATTAGTTGCTATAAGTTTATAAGGATTTTTGGTGTGTTTTTCCCCCATTGTATGTTAAACTCTATTGTTGACTTATTCAACTTAATCCTATAACAATTTGGGGGTCAATCTTGACAGTGGAAACCCAGAAAGAATGAATGAGATGTTTGGGTTCACAGTGTGACCTGCTGAGAACCTAAAGATTTTGCTGTGCCCGACTGAGTCCACCAGAGCGTGATGGCTTAGGTTACGCGCCAGCCGTGACAGGGCCGCAAGGGGGGCAGGGGGCAGACAGAGCTGTGCCCTGCCTCGGAAGACCCTTCAGGGGAGTACATGAAGGCGGCAGAGTCCACTCGAGAATGGGTTCAAGTTCTTACCCAATTTATCTCAAATAAAATACAAGCTATGTGACTTGAATTAATGAACTTCTTTTCATGATGGAGGGGAAGTCGAATGTATATATTTATGAGAAGAAATTGTTTGGCATATTTTAGGTTTGAGAGGATAGAATGTCCATAGAAACTAGACAGCAAAAAGCTTTTTAGTTTCTAAAACCCATTACTGATGATTAACATTAAAATATTTATAACTTTTAGAAAGGGGCGTTACTAAGACAACTTTAGCTTATTTGTGATGAAACATTTGTTGAGTGATATAGTTACAGTGGACCAGTTCCAAACTCCTTATTCAGGAAAAATTGACACTTATTTCTAGAATAGTAGTTTGATTTCGATTGTATAACTATTAACTTTGAGAATATGTATACCCAAGGTAAATACGACAGCGAAGTATATGTGGGATGTGGTCCAATGAATTGAAGCCCCAAGATACAGCTAAGTACACTTATGATTTCATAAAATCTACTTTAGATAGCATTGTGAATGCAATTTCTAAAAGTCCATTTGTACTTAGAGTAAATACATGGTTAGGAGATGTTTTGTGGTTTGGCTTTATATATTCATAAAGTTTTTTAAAAAAATGTTCATTTTGTCTGAACAAAAATGATATTAAATTTGCTATAGAAATGTAACCTCAAATACATTGATGAGTTTTATGATGAGATTTCTAGAAAGCTCTGGACATGGGTACTATGCATTTTGCTTATTTGTATAATGTCTGCAGTTTTAAACTGTATCTCTCTGTGTATTGTGATAGTCTTTTTTTTTTTTTAGTTGCCAGTAAGTTGATTTGGTTGTAAAAAGTTTAAATGTATGACAACAAAAAACTCTTTATGCTGTTGGATGAGAAAAAGACAATGCTTCAATATTTTATTCACTGTGATGTTTTGTTTGTCCATTAAATTGTTATTTCCAAACTGGAAGTTTGATTTCTTGGACTCATGTCAAGATTTAATGATTACTTTGGACCTCTGTTTATGTTAGATAAATGCAAACATGAACTTCCAGGAGTGTTGATTCGGCTAATGCCTCTATCATATGCATGGAGACTTCAGAACCTTCCGACAAAGCCGATTTAACCCATCCCACTTCTAAAAGTCCTTCATACTTAAAAAAAAAAAAAAAGCAGGAGAGAAAAATTAGGGAAGATAAAACAAATATACTGTCTTTATCTTTACCTCACCCAAGGACACTTTTTGCATTCATCTTCAGATAGAGCAAGAGGGAGAGAGGGAGGAGGAGGAGAGAGAGAGAAACATTGATGTGAGAGAGACACATCAACTGGCTACCACCAGCACAACCCCAACTGGGGCCCGGGACAAACTGCAACCAAGGTACGTGCCCTTAGCGGGAACTGAACCCAGGTCTCTCTGGACTGCAGGCTGATGCTCTAACTGCTGAGCCAAACCAGCCAGGGCTAAATTTATTTTTCACTTTTAATTTGTTTTCCAGATTTTGCCTAGCTATTCAACAAAATAGAGTCCATTTGGTCCGGGAAATCACTCACCTTGTGTGGTCTGGGCAAACTTCAAAAATTACCTACTATCTAAATATGACCACTTTTAGGCAAAATAGAAATAATTTAGCCCTGGCCGGGTTGGCTTAGCGTTTGGAGTGTCGTCCTGTGTACCAGAGAGTCCTGGGTTCGGTTCCTGCTAAGGGCACGTACCAAAAACAAAAAAATGTTTTTTAGAATATGTAACAGTTATATGCTTAGGATAATTAATGAATTGGTACCATATATTAGTCAAGAGTTATGGTTTCATTCACTTTCAAAATCTTCACCGGTGAAGACGGGTTAAAGAAAGCAATTACCTGTTCTAGTTATAACATAGGTGTAAACTCACGGTCATCCATTGAGAGACCCTCAGATGCTGAGCATTTGCTTGGCTGTACACAGTTACTAAGCCTCAAAGACACCCTGAGTTTGAAGAAATTTCCCAACACGTCAACCAGGTCGATGTGGAAGTCAAAGGGACCTGTACTGACAGGCCAGCTGATGTAGCAGTTACAGATGAGCTCAGTGCCCACGGGTGCAGAAGAGGTGCCACGGAGGTAAACTAGATAAAATTCCACGTGTTTCTGCGCTTTTCGAAACTAGTTCTTTCTGCATACTCTTCTTGGTAAAACACAAGTACTTGCCTTGATTCTTTTGAAACACCTCAGAAACACTACATTTTATTCTAGCGCTTTCCTCAGAGCCTGAAAGGTAAGATCTCTGTAAAAGTTGAATCAGTTGTTTTTCAGGCTTGAGTCTCACGTGTTTTCCACATCTCTGCCCTTTGATATTTGCCTCAAACCCTTTATGAATTTTTACTCCTCTGTGAGAACCTCGAGGCTTAGTATTGAGTCTTCCCTAATAAGTTCACTTTTGTGTAAAAGAGATTTTTTTAAAAGAAGAGTAAATATGAGTACATTCCAGGTGAGTCCTGAGGTAATACCTATTCAGCTCAATTGCTTATATATTGTTTAAATCATGGTATAATCCAAATCTAAGTATACTCAGTGTACAGATAGTTATGGTTTTGACATAAAGGTGCTTTAAATTTAGGAATAAAAAATTATGTTCTGAATTTTGTGTATACTAAGTAGGCATATGTACAAATGTGTTTTTAAAAGTAGTTGAACCTTGATTTAATGAAAGCATTCAGTTACCTGGAGCAATTCTACATTTTAATTAACCAGGAGTTTATTAGATTTGCAACACAATAACATTTCCCGTTTAAATTGAGATGGTAGGGATTTCCTAAAAGAAAAGAATGTGCTCTGATTTAGAAGGTCATTTTAGACCTTGGTTTGCCCATGAAGTTCAATACTTTAGGTAAGGAAGTTTCTTTCTTTCCTTTTATTTAAAAAAAAAAATTTTCTCCTTACTGATTTTTAGAGAGAGAAGAAGGGAGAGGGAGAGAGAAACAGAAACATCGATGAGAGAGAACATCAATTGGCCGCCTCCTGCATGCCCCCCACTGGGGATTTTGCCCACAACCTGGGCATGTGCCCTGACCAGGAATCGAACCGGCGACCTCCCAGTGTATGGGTCGACGGCCAGCCACTGAGCCACACCAGCCGGGCAGGGAAGTTCTTTCTATGTTCCAGTCTACTTTCACCAGAGAAGTGGTCTGGCTTGAAGACTCCCATTTGGGAGTCTCTGCTGTTTCACTAGCCACTGAAGATAAGGGGGCAGAGAAGCGGAGAAAGCAGAGCGCCAAGGCCGAGCTGTCGGGAGCTGTAACTTGGAATGACCCGTACACGAACAGGCGAGGGGCCTGCGTTGGATCAGCTAGAGCTGGAGGACAGCAGGACTGGAAACGAGAATGTGTGGTTCCCAGAGCCAAGAGAAAGGAGAAGGAATTAGGATGATTAGGTAAATGCAAACGGGAGCAGATTTCAGATTAGTTTACTTAAGGGGAAAAAAAAAAGTTCTTCAAGATTTTTTCATGAAGATTTCCAAATATACAGAAAAGTTGAGAGAATCAGAATTATCACTGGTACAGTAACCACTTAGAGTCAGCAGTTAACCTTTCACGATATTTGTTTTTTCTCTCTCCCCTAAAAATAAAAGACATTCTCTAATTTGACTATTATTATATCGAAGACAATTAAAATATTTTCAGAATATTATTTAATGTGCAATCTTCTCAAATTTTTTTATGTGTTTGCAAAATATCTTTTATAGTTTACAACCCAGAACACAAAGCAGGACCTGGTCGAGCTTCATGCATTGTACCTGTGGTTCTATATTGTATTGTCTTTTATTCTGGAACCGACACTACACCTTGTCATTCTCGT